GTCACGCTGCACGTGCTCCTGGTGGATGGCTTCTCTCAGCCCTACCTGCCTCTGCCTGAGGTGGCCCCTGAGGAGCCCCACGCTGACTCCCTCACTGTCTACTTGGTCATCGCGCTGGCCTCGGTCTCCTCGCTCTTCCTCTTCTCTGTGCTCCTGTTCGTCACCCTGCGGCTGTGTAGGAGGAGTGGAGCAACATCCATGCATCACTTCTCAGTGCCTGAGGGACATTTCCCAGGCCCCCTGATGGAAGTCACCGGGACAGGGACTCTGTCTGAGAACTACCAATATGAGATTTGTCTGGCTGGAGGCTCTGAGACTGGCGAATTCAAGTTCCTGAAGCCAATTTTACCCAATATCCAGAGCCATTCCACTGAATCAGAAATAGGAGAAAATACCAATTTTAGGAATGATTTTGGTTTCAGTATTCAGTGACAACAACAATTCTATATTTCCGTATTCTATTTTTCCCCTATGTCATGGTAAATGCATAATAATAGATTTGCGTGGTGTTTTTGTTTTCTTTTGTTTTCATTTTGTCTATTACAGATTTGAGGAGCTCTTTTAGCCAACTGGTAAGAAACTGCACTGCAGTCAAAGGTTCAAATTCACCAGCTGCTCTGCAGAAAAAGAATGGGCAGTTTCTCCTCCCTGTGTGATTTGCACTCTCTGAAAACCGGGTGGAGCTATAGTTTCATTCAGACTAGATGTCACACAACTGCAGCAACATTATGGATTTTACATAACCGCACCTTTGATTGTAAGATATCTTTTAAAATTGTGTACTAGTATTTCTTCATGTTAATGACATGAAAACATTAATAAAGGGAAGATTAATCTTGCCTTTGGGAACGTGAATGAAGTCAATGTCTGCACAATCTTTTACTCTGGGATAGTTAAGGAATGATTTGCACTCTCTGAAAACCGGGTGGAGCTATAGTTTCATTCAGACTAGATGTCACACAACTGCAGCAACATTATGGATTTTACATAACCGCACCTTTGATTGTAAGATATCTTTTAAAATTGTGTACTAGTATTTCTTCATGTTAATGACATGAAAACATTAATAAAGGGAAGATTAATCTTGCCTTTGGGAACGTGAATGAAGTCAATGTCTGCACAATCTTTTACTCTGGGATAGTTAAGGAATATGTGGGGGAAACATCAAGGGAAACATTAACTTTATAATAAGTTGTAATTTCATAGAAACTTGTTTTATTAGTTGGGTAAATACAGAGTAATAATGCACTAACATTTTCACTGCAGTCTGCCTAATTGGAAAGGAAAGGAAATTGGTGCAGAAAGGCTCTTGTTTCATGGGCATAAACGGCTTGCAATTTGCCTACACTTGACATGTTATGCTCAAATTTATACTACTTGTTTATCCTTTCATTGATATACCCATGTTGGTTTTAGTATAGCTTTAAACGGCTTTACTTTAATTTTCACTGGTTGTGAAAAGTAAAACTATTGTACCTTGTTTATTCCGTGTCATTAAGTAACATAGTAGTAAACTCATGTTTCCCATTTTGCAAAACATTAAGCATACGTTTTTTGCAACAGGAGCTACTATTGACACCCATCCAGTCCTCTTTTTTTCGTAAGTAATGTACTTCGGCTCTTGTTCAGTACGTTAATGTGTTTAGTGAAGAGGTTGAATTTTCCTTGCTTCCTTGACAGCTAGAACTTGGGAAATGATAATATTTATTCCATGACATGTGTGTTATAGGAAATTTTCTACATAAAGGGAGATGACTTCTCTAGGAAGATACCACCCCTCTTTCCCTAACTGTTCCTTGCTGCCTGGAATGTGGCTGTCATGCTGGAGCACAGACTGCCATAAACCTCTGTGATTCAGTGACTGTGGATAGTGAAGTAAGTCAGGTAGAAAAAACTTGAAAGGAGCACGTATCCCTTATAATATGCAAGAGTCACCAGGGTTCCTGGATTGCCTACTTCTGGCCTTCTTTTACCTGAGGCATCCTATCTCAGTTCACTCACCACTATTTTCCTTGACTACCTCCAGTAGAATCTAATCCTAGCTTTTTCCACAGCAAGTTCAAGTAAGTTTGAATCTATCCTTTAAAATACATAGATATTACATGTACAATTGGACTAACCTGATTTTCCTTTTAATTCCGTTAAAAATTGCATCCATATTTTCTTTGTATTATCTTTTTACTCTTCTGCTAAACTTTATAGAGTATTATAACTCCATTTTACATAAGAGGAAAATGATGCATAGAAAAATTCAAGCCACTTGCTCACAATTTGGAAAAAAAGAGGTAGGAGAGTTTAGATCCAATTTAACACTACTCAAATTTAACTTGTAGTTTTTAAACATTAAACCATACTGTCAGGAATTAACTAGTGGCATTGTCTTCCTAAGAGACTGGAATCCATCAACTATTCCTACTGCTCCATCAACTATTCCTACTGCTCCATCAACTATTCCTACTGCTGTAGCATGAATTGAAGTCCCATGTAGAAATAGAACTTGAAGTATTTTATATTTGTTATATACCAATCATCTCACTGCTCTGGGCCAATAAACATAAAATTCTTAAAGAATCACTAGCTTAAGTAAGCTGGTCAGGTACTGCAATTGCTCCTCATCATGAAGGAATAAGCCAGATTATCTTCCTCTATCTTCTTAAAGTACAGCATTCATTATTGCAGAAATGATTCTCTTGAGTAAGCACTTGTTGTTACTGTTATGCGTTGAGTCACCTGCAACCTGTAGTGACCCTATGTACAGCAGCTCAGAAGCCTGCCCTATCCTGAGCCAGTCTTACTTACTCCGACACACCTACACCCATTGCCCCAGTGGCTGTGTCAATCCACCTCATTCAGGGTCTTTCCTGAATTTTTCTGTTTGTCCACCCTTCCAAGCATGATGTCCTTCTCCAAGGACCAATCCCTCCTGGCCACGTCCCCAAAGTATGTGAGATGGAGGTTCAAGATGCTAGTCTCCAAGGAGAAACTTGGAGTAGGGAGTAGAGTCACCTTTTGATTTCACTTTTAAAATTTTTTTGTACTATGTATTCCTTTTCCCCCCAGCCCAGTAATGTATATTTTTTATTTTCTTTGGAATGTTGAAACTTGTTTACCATATGCATAGCTTTCTTTTAAAAATGATATATGCTATACCAATTTTAGCATTCTATTTGTTTGAAAACAGATACTATCTAGTATTAATTCTAAGTGAAATACACTAAGTTCATAAAACTATAGGCAGTGTTTGGGAAGAATTTTATCATGAAATACTGTTGATCCTTTAGATTTAACATGGGTACGGGGAACCTGAGTAGCTCCAATTATTTTGTTAAAATGAGCCATATATCGTTTGACAACTCCTCTTAAGAACAAACATGCCTGGGAGAAAGTGCAGCAGAAGTGTTCCTTGGAGGCAAAGATGGTGAAGCTTCATCCCACATATTTTGGGCATGTTGTTAGGAGAGAACATCATGCCTGGGAAGGTGGGGGATCAGTAGAGGAGAAGAAGACCCTCAATGAGATTAATTGATAATCTGCAGCAATGGACTCAAATGTGGAGAAGAAGACAAGGATGGTGAAGGATAGGACAGAGTTCAGAGCTGTTGTTCTTAGGGTTGCTATGAGTCATGCTCGATTCAATGGCACTTGACAACAATAATAACACTGCCTCTGGTCAAAGGAAGGCAAGTGAAGCTCATTCTACTAGGTCTTAGCCCACATCGATTGAGAGCTTTACCTCTAGACAATGCCTTTAACAGACTTCTAAAAATTATTAACAAAAGGATGATGTGATAAAAATATGAATCTACTACAATTCAATTCAAATTATAGAGAAGCCTGAACAACAGAATTTAAAAACACAGTAGCCCAAAGTTGAGACCTGCTTAGTTGGGAAATAATTTTTCCAGTAATTCCCAAAAAAGTGACTGCTCTTCAGGCTAGATGACGGAAAGAAAAGGAAGAAGTCTACTCTTCAAAAAAGCATGGGTCAAAGAATGACTTCAGAACTGCTGCTGATTACATATTTACCAGATTTACTCATTTGCAATTTTATAGAATGGTGCGTGGGAAAAAATATCTATTGTTGTGGAACTGTGTTTGTTATCTGAGAAACATTTTGCGCCTAATTTTTTGTCAGCTCCACATCAATGCAATGATTCTATTTCATCGCCACCACCTCCACAGCAGTGAACTGTCAATAAAACGAGCTATCGTGTCCTTTAGAAATCCTCTATAAAACACAAAGCTCCAACGTAAAATGAAATTAGAACCCAGTATTTTCTGTGGCACTGTATGAACAGAGTTTATATGGACTTCAGTAGATTTATAGAATTTTGCCTTCAATGTTAAATCAGAAAATCTAAGACGCAGTAAGAACACGTGGTGGCGCTGCAGGTTAAGATGATGGAAACTAGCCTCGCCCGAGCGGCCAAAATACCCGCCCCAGGAGCCAAAGAAACGCTTTCTCTCAACCAGAGTAAAAGCAGATGATGTGATAGCCTCAAAAACCTGTTTAGTGGCATATTCTAGCCTTTCAGACGGCAGGACTGTGCTACCGGGATCCTGGACATACCTGAAGCTCCTTTGAACCATATTTTCAGGAAAGAATGGAGATTGGGAGGCTACACAATCAGAGACAAAGGCAAGTCCTGGTTTTCTTTGTTTTACTCAGATTGTCTAGGGCGGGTACTGAGTTGGGGCCTTATTCGGTGGTTGAAGAAACCGAGAGAGGCTCCTTTGTGGCAAACCTAGGGGTGGACCTGGGGGTGCACCTGACAGAGCTGTCCACCCGAGGGGCTCGGATTATTTCCCAGGGACAAAAGGAGCACTTGCAGCTGAATGTTCAGACTGGGGATTTGCTCATTAATGAGAAACTAGACAGAGAGGAGTTATGTGGCTCCACTGACCCATGTGTAATACATTTCCAAGTGCTCCTGGAAAAGCCCTTAGAGATATTTCAGGCTGAACTGAGAGTAAGCGATGTAAATGACCATTCCCCCGTCTTCACTGAAAGAGAAATGACTCTAAAAATACCGGAAAACAGTCCCCGGGAGCATATGTTCCCTCTGAAGAATGCTCTGGACTTGGACGTTGGAAGCAACAATGTTCAGAACTACAGCCTCAGCCCCAACTCCCATTTCCAGGTTCTCACCAGCAAGCGCAGTGATGGTAGGAAATACCCTGAGCTGGTGTTGGATAAAGAGCTGGACCGGGAGGAGGAGGCTGAATTCAGATTAACCCTCACGGCGCTGGATGGCGGCTCTCCTCCCAGGTCTGGGACCGCCCAGGTCCGCGTTGAAGTAGTGGATATAAATGACAACGCCCCTGAGTTTGAGCAGACTCTCTATAAGGTGCAGGTTCCTGAGGACAGCCCCGTAGGCTCCCTGGTTGCCACGGTCTCTGCCAGCGATTTAGACAGTGGAACCAATGGGAAAATAGCGTACACACTCTTTCAGCCTTCTGCAGATGTTAGCAAAATTTTAGAGGTTGATCCCATCACTGGAGAAATTCGTCTAACAACCCAAGTAGATTATGAAACAATTCTGTCTTATGAAGTTGACATCGAGGCCAAGGATGGAGGGGGTCTTTCCGGGAAATGCACTCTTCTCCTGCAGGTGATGGATGTGAACGATAATGCCCCCAAAGTGATCCTATCCGCACTCACCAGTCCCATCCCAGAGAACTCGCCCCAGCTTGTAGTTGCTGTGTTCAGTGTTTTGGACCCTGACTCCGGGGACAATGGAAAGACAGTTTCTACCATCCAAGATGACCTTCCCTTCCTTCTGAAACCTTCAGTCAAGAACTTTTACACGCTGGTAACAGAGAGAGAACTAGACAGAGAAACAAGAGCCGAGTACAATATCACCATCACTTTCACAGATCTGGGTACTCCTCGCTTGAAAACCGATTTCGGCTTAACCGTGCTGGTCTCCGACGTGAATGACAACGCGCCCACCTTCTCCCAAGCCTCCTACACCCTGTTCATCCGCGAGAACAACAGCCCCGCCCTGCACATGGGCACCATCAGCGCCACAGACAGAGACTCAGGAGCCAACGCCCAGGTCACCTACTCGCTGCTGCCGCCCCACGACCCGCACCTGGCCCTGGCCTCCCTGGTGTCCATCAACGCGGACAATGGCCACCTGTTCGCGGTGAGGTCGCTGGACTACGAGGCCCTGCGAGCCTTCGAGTTCCGCGTGGGCGCCACTGACGCGGGCTTCCCCGCGCTGAGCAGCGAGGCGCTGGTGCGCGTGGTGGTCGTGGACGACAATGACAACGCGCCCTTCGTGCTGTACCCCATGCAGAACGGCTCTGCACCCTGCACCGAGCTGGTGTCCAGGGCGGCCGAGGTGGGCTACCTGGTCACCAAGGTGGTGGCGGTGGACAGCGACTCTGGCCAGAACGCCTGGCTGTCCTACCAGCTGCTCAAGGCCACGGAGCCCGGGCTGTTCAGCGTGTGGGCGCACAATGGCGAGGTGCGCATGGCCAGGGTGCTGAGTGAGCGCGAGGCACCCAAGCACAGGCTCCTGGTGCTGGTCAAGGACAATGGGGAGCCGCCCCTGTCTGTCACCGTCACTCTGCACGTGCTCCTGGTGGATGGCTTCTCTCAGCCCTACCTGCCTCTGCCTGAGGTGGCCCCTGAGGAGCCCCACGCTGACTCCCTCACTGTCTACTTGGTCATCGCGCTGGCCTCGGTCTCCTCTCTCTTCCTCTTCTCTGTGGTCCTGTTCATCACCCTGAGGCTGTGCAGGAGGAGCAGGGCCACTTCAGTAAATCGCTTCTCAGTAATAGAGGGCCAATTTCCGGGCCACTTAGTGGACTTCAGTGGCACCGGGACCCTGTCCCAGAGCTACCAATATGAGGTGTGTCTGACAGGGGGTTCTGAGACCAATGAGTTCAAATTCCTGAAGCCAATTATTTCTGGCTTTCCTCTTCAGAACACTCCTGGTGAAATCGAGGAAAACTCTGCTCTCCACAATAACTTTGGGCTCAACTATTGATAGCAGATCACCTAATAAAGTCGTCTTATTTTAAAAGTAGGGGGGTTTTTAATTGGTAAATTGTATGTATCCATCTACCACAATTAAATAGATATTATTGACTTTTCTCTATTTTATTTATCATCTATTTCCAATCTTAATTTTACGGTTTTACTTTTCATATTTTATCCCAATTAGGTGTTTCTCCCTAGAATGCCAGTCGTTGAAAGGTGTCAAAGTTTATATCCCTTGAACGTATTCTTTCACTTTTTATATGTCTTTGTTGACTTTGTGTTATATTCATGTTGCTACAGTGTGCATGTTCTCATTTTCCTAAAACTTTTAGAATTTGTGGCACTTGAAAATTATATATATATATAATATTTATTTCTTCTTTCCTTTAAGAAGTTGTTGGTATATGTTTGTTTTCCTTGACTTTCATGATAATACTTTTTAAAACCTTTGTCACACTTTAAAGCAAATTTTGATTGTAACTTTAGAGACAGGTCCTTATTTGAAATGTTTCTGTTACAAACATATGATAAATATCTATGCACTCTTGTTTGAAAATAAGAAGAATAACCACCATAAAGCATTATGTGTGTTTAAGGTTTGGTGATAGGGAACAAGGCTTAGACATAGTATAATGACAAAATCATTAATAATTTGTTGCTTTTCATTTTTTTTTTAAAAAAAGCATCTACAGGTGCCTGCCTGTTAATTTTTAAATTACTTACAACCTAGTTCCTTTATGGGTAGGGAAAAAAAAAATCCTATTACAAATCATTAAGTAGAGGTCTATACAGTGTGGCTTTTATAGTCAATTACTAGAGTGTTGTTTTGACTATATTTAGCTTTCCCCACTATATTTCTCAACTTAATTAGTATCTCATGTTTACTTAGGTGGGGCGGGGGTAGTTTTGATGGTGGAGGTAAAAGCCTGCGGGACAATACTCTCTTGTTAAGATTAACAGTCTCTGAATCTTGATGAAGCGTCCCTATGAGCTGGCACCTATTCGATGACAGTGTGGGGGGGTTAATGGGGGGAAATCCATTAGACCTTTGAATAAAATTTGGTTTAAAGCAGATTTACAGTGCTGATTTTACTTTGAAAAGTTTTGGAATAGACTTTAGTATAGTCTATTTTTACCCTCTTTAGTGCAAAGAAAGTTCATCCCAAAAGATGGGTTTACATAGTGTTTGCCACAGTAGGTAATGGAGTATTACAATGTGAGGATGGCACAGAGCCGGCGGTGCTTTGCTCCCTGTACACTGTGAGTTGAAATTTGATGGGCACCAACAACGTATTTCAATTAAGAAGGACTTGGCAAAAAAATTTTACTATTTCTTTCATTCTGAAAGGAAACTTAAGGCTGTTTTGGTGGTTGTTGCAGACCATCGAGTTGGAAACCGACTCATAGCTGACCCTCCAGAGAGTTTTTAGAGAGAGTAAATGGCTAGCGAGGAGATGTCTCATCTTTCTCCTGTGGAGCAGCTGGAGGTTTTGAACTATGTAGCTTTGGATTCACAATCCAGGTCCTTACCACCAGGCCACCAGAATTTCAGGGGAAAAAAATGGTAAAAGAGAAGAAGAAGAAAAATTGCGATGAGTAAAGTCTTCAGATATGAATAAATGAAACAAGTGTTCACGTGGTAGGATTTGAAAGGCATTGGCAATTATTACCTCATTTTGTACTCACAGAGTTTATTTTTGCATGCTCTAAGTGTGGGAGAAGGGTGGGCATTCTCCTCCAATTCAATTCATTGCCTCTGAAAACCAGCTCCAGAGTCAGCCATGAGTCTGTTCTAATTTCAGTAACAACAACGTAAGCATTTAACGAGTTTCTAATGCACCAACAAACATGGTCACCACAAATAGTTTACATATTTAAAAAGGGACAAATTTGCTTGAACCAAGCAGCAGTTCTGTTTACAAGAGCAATTGCTGTTACTTGCAGAAGTTGTTATGAAACTACGGAGGAAAGACAACCTAAATGGTTTGCACTAGATTATGCAGTGGTAAAGGCAACATAATAAGATTACAATGAAGAAGTTAGTTGCATGAGAAAAAGTGTGAACCAAATTTCTTCTGTCACTGCAGAGTTTCTTGTGCCCGGTGTCCCTGGGAAAGAATAAATCACCACAATTCCCTCTTTGGTTCCTAATATTACATTGGTATTGTATCAGAAGTTTAACCACAGCAACATCTAACCGTATAATGCAAATAATTGTTGGTGGAAATACTTTTTGGCAAAAATGGAATTTTTACATTTTCCCGTTAAGCAGTGACGAATTAAAAAAACCGTGAACAGTTCCCTCTATCAACATTCTTTTTAAAAATAAATATAAGAAACAATTAAACATATAGAAGAACCACTGAAAGGAAAATTTTATAAAGACACGTATCAGAATCACATCTTCCCCTAGATGGCTTCCGCCACTTGGTCTTCGATGGCCACGAGGTGGCGCTGCAGGCTCACGAGATGGAAACACCCCAAAGGCCAACCCGAGATGCTAAGGAAGGAAGTCGCTACAAGAAAAGAAGATCCGGACAGATCGATCCGCTTTGAAAAAAGTCCTCATCACCCGAGATTGGGAAAGAGAAAATCCCTGCTACTTCAGGGTATGGGTCTGGAGCTTGCGGCTGCTGGTACTTGATACTGGAGACTGTGGTTGTAACTGAAGTTGTAGGCGTGTCTGCGAGGAAGCCATGGAGACCGGAGGGCTGCGCTTCCCGAGACAAAGGCAAGTCCTGTTTGTCTTTCTATTTTGGGGAGGATCCCTGGCAGAATCTGGGTTTGGACGTTATTCGGTGACAGAGGAAGCCGAGAGAGGATCGTTCGTGGTCAATTTGGCCAAGGATCTGGGGCTAGCAGAGGGGGAACTGGCTGCAAGGGACGCTCGAGTGGTCTCTGATGATAACAGATCACACTTGACCCTGAATTCCCAAACCGGGGATTTGCTCACAAGCGAGAAGCTGGACCGCGAGGAGCTGTGCGGCCCCACGGAGCCCTGCACGCTTTATTTCCAAATTTTAATGGATAACCCCTTTCAAATTTACCGGGCTGAACTGAGGGTCAGGGATATAAATGACCATTCACCGGTGTTTCAGGATAAAGAAATGGTCCTAAAAATTCTAGAAAATACACCCCAAGGAACAACATTTCAACTAGAAAGAGCACAGGATTCAGATGGGGGTCTTAATGGTATCCAAAAGTATGCCATCAACCCCAACTCTTTTTTCCAAATTAAAATTACTAACAGTGATGAAGGCGTCATATACCCAGAGCTGGTGTTGGACAAAGCATTGGATTGGGAGGAACATCACGAGCTCACTTTAACACTCACAGCGCTTGATGGAGGGTCCCCACCCAGATCTGGGACGACTACTGTCCGCATAGTGGTCTTGGACATTAATGACAACTCCCCCCAGTTTGTGGAAGCACTATATGAGACAGAGGTGAGGGAGAACAGCCCCGTGGGGTCCTTCATTGTTAAAGTCTCCGCAGAAGATATAGATTCTGGAGTCAATGCTGAAGTAACCTATTCGTTTTTTGACGCCTCTGAAGAAATTCGAACAACCTTTCAAATCAGCCCTACAACTGGAGAGCTAGCTCTCAGAGCGTTGCTTGATTATGAGCTAATAAAGTCTTACAAAATTAATATACAGGCAGTAGATGGAGGGGGCCTTTCTGCAAGATGCATGGTTTGGGTCCAAGTGTTAGATGTGAATGACAACCCCCCTGAACTCATCGTGTCATCACTTTCCAATTCCATTGCTGAGAACTCCCCTGAGACAGTACTGGCTGTTTTTAAGATCAGAGACAGAGACTCTGGAGAAAATGGAAAGATGGTTTGCCACATTCAAGATGATCTACCATTCCTGCTGAAGCCCTCGGTAGAGAATTTTTTCGTTCTGATGACAGAGGGAGCTCTTGACAGAGAAAGCAGAGCCCAGTACAACATCACCATCACCGTCACAGACTTAGGCACTCCAAGACTGAAAACACACCGCAACATAACCGTGTGGGTTTCTGACGTGAATGACAACGCGCCCACCTTCTCCCAAGCCTCCTATACCCTGTTCATCCGCGAGAACAACAGCCCCGCCCTGCACATGGGCACCATCAGCGCCACAGACAGAGACTCAGGAGCCAACGCCCAGGTCACCTACTCGCTGCTGCCGCCCCACGACCCGCACCTGGCCCTGGCCTCGCTGGTGTCCATCAACGCGGACAATGGCCACCTGTTCGCGGTGAGGTCGCTGGACTACGAGGCCCTGCGAGCCTTCGAGTTCCGCGTGGGCGCCACTGACGCGGGCTTCCCCGCGCTGAGCAGCGAGGCGCTGGTGCGCGTGGTGGTCATAGACGACAATGACAATGCGCCCTTCGTGCTGTACCCCATGCAGAACGGCTCTGCACCCTGCACCGAGCTAGTGCCCAGGGCGGCCGAGGTGGGCTACCTGGTCACCAAGGTGGTGGCGGTGGACAGCGACTCTGGCCAGAACGCCTGGCTGTCCTACCAGCTGCTCAAGGCCACGGAGCCCGGGCTGTTCAGCGTGTGGGCGCACAATGGCGAGGTGCGCATGGCCAGGCTGCTGAGTGAGCGCGAGGCACCCAAGCACAGGCTCCTGGTGCTGGTCAAGGACAATGGGGAGCCGCCCCTGTCTGTCACCATCACGCTGCACGTGCTCCTGGTGGATGGCTTCTCTCAGCCCTACCTGCCTCTGCCTGAGGTGGTCCCTGAGGAGCCCCACGCTGACTCCCTCACTGTCTACTTGGTCATCGCGCTGGCCTCGGTCTCCTCTCTCTTCCTCTTCTCTGTGCTCGTGTTCATTGTCATGCGGTTGTGCACGAGGAGCAGGGCTGCCTCTGTGACTGGGGGCCACTTTCCTGGCCACTTGGTAGAAGTCAGCAGGACTGGGACCCTTTCCCAGAACTACCAGTACGAAGTGTGTCTGACTGGAGGCTCAGAGACCAGCGAATTCAAATTCTTAAATCCCATATTGCCCAATATTCAGTCTCAGGACAGTGAGAGAAATAATGAAGAAAATCCTAGCTTTCGAAATAGTTTTGGGTTTAATATTCATTAAAATAATCTATTCATATTTTCATCGGTATTAGGTGTGTGGTGATAAGAATATTAATTTTGTCTTAAAATTACGTTGAGTACTCTATAAGTTTTACAGTACCATTTCATCATCTCATTAATTCCTAACAGCTAGCTCAAATTTAATTAGTGTCCATCTCCAAATAATGATCGTAAGGTTTTAGTCCATTAAAAAAAATCTGACTATTTAATTATTTTTATGTGTCTTTGTTGAAAACCAACATTGGTTCCTCCCCCACCCCAGTAAATGTTAAAGTCTGCATCTCATGATCATAACCACCTCTGTTGCACTTTTGCTATGTGAGAACTCATACTTAACACCTACACCTTATTCTAATGTTTTATATCTTCAAGTTCATCATTAGTTCTAAATTAAAAAATTTAATTTTATGAGCGATACTGGACCATAATAATATCCTTGTGTATCATGTTATTATTTCATTACTCTGAAATACTCTACTTTTCTTTGGCTAATAATTCCTAAGTTCACTTTTGTTGGTGAGCAAAATAAGACTGTCTTATGATTCAAACCTGCATGAAAATAAATATGGATAAAACATTATGAAACTTTGTGAGAATTTTAATGCACTCTTGGAATGATGTTAATTTTACTTTGCAAGTATATGTCAGTCATTATCAAGTTCAAAAGTCAAGTAGAATTAAAGGTTATATGGAAAGTAGGAGTGCTTTCTTGGTTGTTGTGTACCTTCGAGTCTCAGAACTGACCCAAATCTGACCCTCCAGAGGGTTTTTAGAAGTTGTAAATCAAATGGGAGGAGATTGCCCATCCCTCTCCCATGGAGAAGCTTATGGATATGAACTATGTACCTTTGGGATTGCAGCACAGTTTTTTCCCACTTCGTAAATCTCCAGTCACCTGCAACAAAATGGTTATTCTATAGGGACTAGTCTCTCCTGATAGAATGTTGAGATGAAGTCTGACCACCTTTGCACTAGTCATGGGAAAAGAACATTTTGCTTGGATAATTAGAGAGTCAGAGAAAGAGATGGACATCCTTGAAGTATTGACCAACCATAAAATCCACTTTATTAATGCAGTAACTGCGACAATGGGCTTTAGCGCAGAAGAGATGGTGAGGATGGTGTAGATCTGAGCAGAGTTTCATTTTGTTGTGCATATACTACTGCTAATAGATCCCTGTGGGTGGGCTCCAGGGCTCCAGTCCATAGGGAGTTGTACTGCTAACCCAAAAGTGGTTTCAATCTACCAGCAGCTCTGTAGAGAAAGAGGGGCAATATCCTTCCATACTATTTACAAAATCAGAAACCCAATGAAATGGTTGATTCCCTTTCATGAGTTGGATACAACTCTGCAGCAGTAAGTTAGAGTTTTGAGTGAGAGCCAAGTCCATGACACCTAACAATTCACATAGCTTGATAGTCAACCTTATATTTTAATAACTTCTTTCAATTGATAGATATATAAATTTCTTATTTCTCAACACCTGAAAATATTGTACATTCCTTCTATTTTTCCAATATAGTTGTAATTTTTTAAAAAAAAGCTAAACCAATGTCTACATTACTAAGATTCTCATAAGATCATATTATTAGTGGGTTATGATTACTTTATTTCTTAAAAGCACTCTCCTAAAGCTAATAATTACAGTTATATAGTTGTACCCTTTTCTATGAACCACTATTGATATTTCCCCTTACAGTTTTTTACTTATATATCAATCTTTTGTCCTTAAAAATAGTAAGAAGCATCACATAGTTTACCCATTATGTTTATTTCCTAGGGACCATTCATCAAGAGCCCTTGCATCTCTGACTCATTTACAGTAGTTGCTCTCTGGGCTGTCACTGTACTCTTTAATACTTTTTGTATTAGCTGTCTTTTATAAAATCTGGTTTCTTTTTTCTTCATTTATTTCTGTAGCATATTTATCAGTATCTTTATAGAAATAGATTAAGAGGAGTAAATTTTTTTAAACTTTGTATTGTGAAGATATTCTTTACATTTGATTGATAGTTTGACTAGGTATAAAAATCTAGGTTGAAAACCATTTTCCTCAGATTTTAAAAATATTGCTCATTTTACTTATTGCATGTAGAGTTGTTGTTTGGAAGACCTATTCCATTCTGTTCATGACATCTTTATTAATTTCACTTACCCCATCCCACTCTACCTGCATCCCCCAGGAGCACTTAGTATGGCCTTTTAATTAATTTTTTAAATTTGATCTCATGAGTGGACCTTGTTAACTTTCAAATTCTCACTTTCAACTCTTGGAAATGATGTTCTTATTATGTTTTAATTATCTTTTCGTCCTGCACTCTCTATATTCTCTCTTTAACCCTAGTCTCACTAGTAAAATGTTGGACTACTTGAGTTAAAAATGTCTTGATTTTTTCCTCTTCTCTAGTTTTCTATCTTGGCCTATTTTCTAAGAATGTAATTTACTATCTAGCTTTTAGGGAGCCCTGGTGACTTACTCTGGTGGTAAGGAGTTGCACTGCCAAACCAAAGGTACAGTTTGAATCCACTAACTGCTCTGTGGGAGAAAGATGGTCAGTCTCTTCCCGTGAAGTTTACAACTTCTGAAAATTCACAGGAGGGTCAGTAAGGGTCAATTCTGAGTTATAACAACAACATGTTTTTTATAAATATAGATGTATTTATATAAATCCTGATAGGGATTTGCAAATACAATATCTTCTCTTGTCTATTATTAATCCATTTATTCTCTGAAAATACTTTATGTAGTAAAACTTATAATTATGCTTCTCTTACAAATGAGAGTGGATTGTGAGGCTGTGAAGGGTTTCAACATTGTTAGTAAGGGATACTTAAGACAAATTTTTCTTTATTTGATAGTAAGAATCTCTGTTTCATGTAATTATTAAGATTAAATGGGTAATATATGTTTAAATCCCGGAACACTTCCTTCTAATGCAAAACCTATACTTGGACCAGGAGGCAGTCGTCAGAACAGAGCAAGGAAACACTGCATGGTTCAAAATTGGGAAGGGTGTATGCCAGGGATGCGTCCTATCTCCATACCTCTTCAATCTGTATGCAGAACAGATTATCTGGGAGGCTGGGCTCTATGTGGAGAAATGTGGGGTCAAGATTGGGGAAGATCGATCAACAATCTGTGTTATGTAGATGACACAACCCTGCTTGCTGAAACTGAGGAGGACCTGAAGCGCTTGCTGCAGAGGGTCAAGGACTGCAGCCTCCAATATGGATTGAGGCTCAATGTCAGGAAGACAAAGATTCTCACCACTGGACCAACTGGCAGCATCAGGATGGATGGTGAAGAGACTGAGATTGTTCACAGCTTTAGTTTGCTTGGCTCCACAGTCAACACTCTTGGCACCAGATGCCAGAAATTAAAAGGTGGATTGCCATGGGAAAGTCTGCTGTTAGAGATCTCTCCAAAGTACTGAAGAGCAATGTTGTCTCTCTGGAGACTAAGGTGCGTCTGATACAGGCCATGGTCTTTGCAATCACTTGTTATGCTTCAGAGAGTTGGACAATGACCAAGGAGGATAGAAGGAGAATTGATGCCTTTGAGCTGTGGTGCTGGAGAAGAGTATTGAGAGTACCATGGACTGCTAGGAAAACAAACAGATTCATCCTGGACAAGGTTAAACCGGGTGGCTCCTTGGAGGCAAGGATTCTGAGGCTCCATCTAATATACTTTGGACATGTTGTAAGGAGAAACAGGTCCTTGAAGAAGGACATCATGTTTGTGAGGGTGGAGGGGCAGCACAGGAGGGGAAGGCCCTCTATGAGGTGGATTGATTCAGTGATTGTGGTAATCAGGATGGGAGTGTCAGAGACAGTGCAGTTGGCACAAGATAGAGCAGAGATTAGGGCTGTTGTACATAGGGTCGCTATGAGTCGCAAGCGACTCGACAGCATATAACAACAACAACACCAATATGTTTAAAACACTTAGAAAAGTGGGTGACAAAGAGTAAACATTCAACACATTTACCTTTTGTTGTATTTTAATTTCTTTAAGGATTACTCAAACATTGTAAATACTTTCTTCTATTTCTGTATTATATCTCTTTCTTCCTGGTTGTTTTGTTAATGGTACTGGTGATTCTGGCCTTTATCCTCATATGGTTTTTTGTTTTAAGTATCTTATATTTAAGGATAATGAGATATTAAAATGCTAACAAGATGCTCTTTTGCATATGTAAGCCTTATTTATCTATGACGTTCATGTTAGTATTCTACAATACCTTATGTATGAGGGTAGGGAATGACTCAGACGTATACATTGTGCTGTATGAGCTGAGAACCTTACAAGAGAAGGTGATAGAAATGTTACCATTCAGAAGGCAGGTTTTTTCTTTGTCATCTTGTTTTACTTTCATATGTCCTATTTGTACTCAGGTCTGCCAGCGTTCTCCAAGATTAGCAATATTCAAACCTAAACTCACTGTTGTCAAGTCAGTTCTGATTCATAGCGACACTCCTTCAGGTTTCTGAAGAGACTGCCCACCTTTCTGTCATGAAACCACTGTTGGATTCAAACTGCCAGAAGAGGCATAGCCTGTGGATTAGCAGTACAACTCTCTGCAGATTAGGACAGAGAATTGCTTTGTCTTTGTAGTCCTTTCCTGAAAGAAAAAGCAGGGAGACTGACTTGCTGTTGAAGTAAATCTCCAGAGGAGCCAGACTTAAATAAAACTAGCATATTTGAAATACCATTTGACCCAGCAATTCCTTTACTGGGAATAGACGCTAAAGAAACCATAAGTGCCACCCAGGCAGATATATGCACACCCAAGTTTATTATGGCTTTGTTTACAATAGCAGAGTTGAAAACAACCCAAGTGCCCATCAACAAATGGATAGAGAAGCTCTGGCATATTCACACAATGGAATACTATGCTGCATTGAAAAACAAGGAGCTCATGCAACATTATTCAAAATGGGTGACTCTGGAGGACATTATGCTGAGTGAAGTATCTCAGTCACAAAAGGACAAATATTGCATAGTGTCACTGTTGTAGAACGGGACTGATCAGGATAAATTATGTATACTGCATTGAAACAGATGAGGGAGAGAACTGTTTGAAAGCGATGGTATTATGGTTATGACAAGAGTCCAGAATGAAGGTTGTGGAGTGTACTCGGGACAGGGGACGGGGCTAGGGCATTGTATACCAATGAAAGAATTTTTCTTTTACTTTTCAAAGAGAAGATTAAACTGGGGAGGATAGCTGGACAGGGAGAAAAATGCAACAATGAATGAATGGAAATCCAAAAATCTCTGTAAACATTCATTAAAATTAATGAAATTTTTAAAAAACTAGCATATTTGTGTACTAATTAAGTATTTTGTATTTTACCAGAATCTGAAAAGAAACTGCGAATATGCATATTATGTCAGTGGTTAATATAGTTAGTTTCATGTGCTCTCCGAGAACTTCTGAATAACTCAGGTGCATCCCTTCCTTTATTACCTAAGGAAGAATAGGTAGTACAGGGACTTTCTTTAGTTTAGTAATCAGCGAAACCTTCCTTGTCTCAGGCTTTAAAAAAATATTTTTCTAAAGAAATTACTAGCTTCTGGAAGCCAGGAGTTGTGGTTTGTGCCACTGTATTCAGGACATAATTGAGCACATTTCGTTATGTGCAGAGGGAGAGGTCTTAATAAAGGCTTAAAATAAATACTGGCAACACCACAAACTATAAAGAACTTAAAACAGTTCAAGGAATGGAGAGTATATTTGTAATTCATTTTTAAACAAAATGCATAAGGCAGTATTTTTTTCCCCCCCTGAAAGACCTGTATGTCAATGGGATGTAGTTCGCTCTTCCCAAACTGTAAAAATCTGGAGATACACATGGTGGCGCTGCAGGATAACATCATGGAGAAAATGACGCCGGTAATGCCCTGGATGTAACCCAGTGCGTACAGCATTGAAAACACTGAACAGCTAGAGATGACCTAGAAGCCTTTCAACAGGGTTAGAATCATTACCGCTGAGGATTTGGTGGACAAATCAGAAGCACAATTTCCAGAACTGGAAGGAAGACTGAGTGAAGCGATTCTGTGGGAAGACTGAAAAGGGAGCTATGGAGAACAGAGAGCCGGACACACTGCGGATAAGGCAAGTCTTGCTTCTCTTTGTCTTGCTGGGAATGTCTCAGGCAGTCTCTGAATCAGGGCGGTTTTCTGTGGCGGAGGAAATGCAGAGCGGGAGTTTTGTGGGCAATTTGATAAAAGACATGGGACTGGAGCTGGGGGAGCTGGCCTCACGGGGGGCCCAGGTGGTCTCTAAGGATAACAAACATCATTTGCAGCTGGACATAAGCACAGGAGACTTGCTTCTAAGGGAAAGGCTAGACCGGGAAGAGCTCTGTGGCTCCACCCAGCCGTGTGTGCTGCATTTCCAAGTGTTAATGAAAAACCCCTTACAGTTTTTTCGAATTGAGCTCCAGGTCAGGGACATAAATGACCACTCTCCCGTTTTTCTGGAAAAAGAAATGCTTCTAGAAATTCCAGAGAATACTCCTGTTGACACTGTGTTCTTACTGGAAAGTGCAAAGGATTTAGATGTAGGGATCAACACACTACACAACTATACAATCAGCCCCAATTCCAACTTCCACGTTAAAATTAGAGTTGATCCAGATAATAGGAAATACCCAGAGTTGGTTTTGGACAAGGCGCTGGATTACGAAGAACAGCCTGAATTCAGTTTCATCCTCACCGCTCTGGATGGTGGGTCTCCGCCTAGATCTGGGACTGCCTTTGTTCGGGTAGTTGTTGTGGATATCAATGATAACTTCCCTGAATTTGAACAGCCTTTTTATGAAGTGAAGATTCCAGAAAATAGCATCTTGGGGTCACCGATTGTGACTGTCTCAGCTTGGGACTTAGATTCTGGAACAAATGGGGAAATATCATACAGTTTTTCTCACACCTCAGAAGACATTTACAAGACATTTGAAATTAATCAAAAGTCTGGAGAAGTTAGTCTAACAGGACTCTTGGATTTTGAAACTATTAAATCATACTCAATAATTATTCAAGCCACAGATGGAGGTGGTCTGTTTGGAAAATCAACAGTGAGAATTCAAGTGATTGATGTGAATGACAATGCACCTGAAGTGACCGTGTCATCAATGACCAGCCCAATACCTGAAAATTCCCCTGAGACTGTGGTTCTGGTTTTCAGTATCATAGACAGAGATTCTGGGGTCAATGGGAGAATGATTTGTTCCATCTCTGAAGACCTTCCATTTATGCTAAAACCTTCTGATGAGAATTACTATTTATTGGAAACAAAGGGAACACTGGACAGAGAAAGCAAAGCAGAGTACAACATCACCATCACCGTTACCGACCTGGGCACCCCCAGGCTGAAAACCGAGCACAAGATAACCGTGCTGGTCTCCGACGTGAATGACAACGCACCCACCTTCTCCCAAGCCTCCTACACCCTGTTCATCCGCGAGAACAACAGCCCCGCCCTGCACATGGGCACCATCAGCGCCACAGACAGAGACTCAGGAGCCAACGCCCAGGTCACCTACTCGCTGCTGCCGCCCCACGACCCGCACCTGGCCCTGGCCTCCCTGGTGTCCATCAACGCGGACAATGGCCACCTGTTCGCGGTGAGGTCGCTGGACTACGAGGCCCTGCGAGCCTTCGAGTTCCGCGTGGGCGCCACGGACGCGGGCTCCCCCGCACTGAGCAGCGAGGCGCTGGTGCGCGTGGTGGTCGTGGACGACAATGACAACGCGCCCTTCGTGCTGTACCCCATGCAGAACGGCTCTGCGCCCTGCACCGAGCTGGTGCCCAGGGCGGCCGAGGCGGGCTACCTGGTCACCAAGGTGGTGGCGGTGGACAGCGACTCTGGCCAGAACGCCTGGCTGTCCTACCAGCTGCTCAAGGCCACGGAGCCCGGGCTGTTCAGCGTGTGGGCGCACAATGGCGAGGTGCGCATGGCCAGGGTGCTGAGTGAGCGCGAGGCACCCAAGCACAGGCTCCTGGTGCTGGTCAAGGACAATGGGGAGCCGCCCCTGTCTGTCACCGTCATGCTGCACGTGCTCCTGGTGGATGGCTTCTCTCAGCCCTACCTGCCTCTGCCTGAGGTGGCCCCTGAGGAGCCCCACGCTGACTCCCTCACTGTCTACTTGGTCATCGCGCTGGCCTCGGTCTCCTCACTCTTCCTCTTCTCTGTGCTCTTGTTTATTGGGGTGCGGCTGTGCAGGAGGAGCAGGGCCACCTCGCTGAGTCACTGCTCAGTGACCGACGGCCGCTTTCCAGACCACTTGGTGGAGGTTAGTGGCATGGAGACGTTGTCTCAGAGGTATCTCTATGAGGCATTTCTGACAGGAGGTGCAGGGACAAATGAGGTCACATTCATGAAGCCAGTCATGTCCAATTTTCTATCCCAAGACCCTGGAAAAGAAATAGAGGAAAATCCTTCCTTCCGGAATAGCTTTGGGTTCAATATTAAGTAACCTAATAGACTTTTATACTCCATCCATATTTTCTTTTATAACATATCCAATGTTTATTTTCCACAATTTATGTGTATTCTAAATTATACTAATATTACTCAATATTCCCTCATGTTCTCCCCACTTTTACTTTTAAATGAAAGTTGCTTATTCTTTATTTGTAGTTGTAATGTGAAGAAAATTTACTTTCCAAACCCAGGTTACTTTATAATTAACTTGCCTCCTAAAATAACATTAACATCTTCTTTCAGTGTCTCCTCGCTCCACCTAGTTGAACTTCCACTCACAATTATATATATTGCAAAATAAAACCGACCACTTTGCAAGTTACAAAAGTGTTCAAGCATTTCCTCATCTGATTGTGTTGCCAGTTGTTCTTATGGTTCAATAATGGGGTGCGGTTCTGAAATGTCATTTTTCTCTTTAAAAGGTTCATTTCATTTTCTTGGCTAATGGCTTTAAATTTTAATTACTATGCAAAATAAGCCTCAACAGTCAAGTTCTATGATGTGTGTGCTGTTTCTCAGTAGAAAAGATGAGAAGGCAAGTTTCTCAATTTCTCTATACATTTTGGAAAATGTTTCTGAAGGCACGGTAAATACCTGGCCACTTACAGAATCTTGGAATATGAAATAATACTTTTCCAAGTGCCTTGTCAGTGTTCTAAGACAGTGGGGAGCAGGCACTTGAATAATAGTAATTTGGACACCAAAAAATGAAGTGGTATGTTAATGTGTGTAAAAAAAGTCTACTCATATGCTACTTACTGCCTCTGAAAACCCACGGGAGGGTCGCAATTAATTAGTTCTGACTTGGTGGTACACAATAGACAATTAGCCTAAAGAGATATGTAAAGTATCATAGAAGATGTCTAAAGCTCTGAAAGTTAAAATTAAGATGACCATATAGGATTGACAAATCAATAAGTGTTGATAAGGATATAGAGAATTTAGAATCTGCATACATTACTGGTGAAATGTAAAATGGTGCAGCCACCTCAGAAAGCAATATTTATCCAACCCAATTTAAAATACATGACTACACACATGAATGTGTATACCATTATTCAAATACTGTTCTAAAAAGGGAAATAATGCAAACATCTATCAACTGGATACATTTGTAATGGATAAATGAAAATGTGGTACCTCCTGATAATAGAGTTTTACTTAGCAGTAAGAAGGAATCAAGAACTAATACATGTAATAACATTAATGAACTTCAAAACCATTGTGCTAGATGAAAGAAGTCAGTCACAAAGGCCATATATTGTATTATCTCATTTATATAAAATATCCAAAATAGGCAAATTTACAGAGCAAGAAAGTAGATTCCTAGATTAGTGGTTGCTTAGGGTGGAGTGTGTCTCCTCATGAGTACAAAGTTAATTTTTAGGAAGACAGAAATTGTCTAAAATTATATTATGATGATGTCTGTACCCTCTATAAATATACTAGAAACCATTAACTGGAAACTTTAAATAAGTAAACTTTATGGTGTGTGAATTCTAGCTAATAAAACTTTTTAAAAGAAATAGAATTCTAGGACCCTGTGGTCCCAAGTCAGTCACATCTTATTTATAACCGGCAAGGGAAAGAACAATTTAAGAAGCTCAGATAGAAAATGCCACAGGTACAGTCTCTGTCCTATTGCTTATAATTAATTACTTTTCATATATGACCAGTAGGACTTCTCTATTTATGGAGAGAACTATGTGTTTCCTGACTCGAATGGAAACCAAGCCTTCAAGGGATCAGAATCCAGTATAAGTAACTAAATTCCCTAAAACATAGAAAAGACAATTTTACTCTTCTAGTTTAAATACCTTTCATAGCTAAATTTAATGTGTTGCAATCAAATATCATTCGCTCATTTTATACAAAGTAACTATAAACTGTATGTAATTTAAAGAATGATCTTGTATCCATTGGACATTGTATGGAATTAGTTTAGAGTATGAGAAAGTAAGCACGTAAGTGTATTTTAGCTTACAATTACATCCTTATAATCTTCTTTTCCACCTCAACTTCTGCCACCATCCCTGTCTCCCATGATTAATACGGCTTTACCTCTTGGTCCCAAGGTCTTCACCTCTACTCCAATTCAAGCACTCATGGATACATACTTTCAAATTCAGATAACTCCATCTGATAATATAATCCTTTATCCTTTGAACTCTTTGATCTTATTACTTTGATTACAACTTGTGCTTTGGCCTTATTAGGCTTTTCATTCCATGATGCTGCTACTACCTATCACTCTCTTTTTTCAATATCCTTTCTATGCTACTGATTGTGTGGCTTAATCTTCTCCTAATCACCCTCTCATCTCCATTATTACTTTTTGTTTCATTTTTTTCCCTAGATCAAACTCTATACCACATGAATTTAATTACCTACTTCTTCCTTTTTCATACATGGACCATTACACTATAAAAGAAAATGACAAATTATTAATTATATTGGTAGAATAAATTTATGACATCCAAACATAGTTAGACCTTCAACAACAAGAAACTGTTTTGTATTTTCATAATATTTCTTTTTCTTCTGTTCTCCATAGTAAGTATTTCAACTTTATTTTACTCTCAATTTCTCATCATACCATTTACATACTCACTTTTTAGAGATGAACCTGACTAACATCCAGAAAGTAGAATCTATCAGTTTGGAGTTCTCTCAGGTCCCTTACCCCTAAACTTTTCTTTGAGAGCAACTGTCCCTCATTACCTCTGCTAAGCTCTTTTCTTCCACCTCAACTTTGTTTCCTTTTCCAGTCTTCTGAGGTTTAGTGAATAACATTACCAGCAATCCATATACCAACCCAGAGGTCTAATAGGAATCGTTCTTGAGTCGTTCCTCCTTCCCTCCCCACACAACCTATCAATTGTCAGGTTCTAATTCTTCTTTTGAATGAATATGGTCTAATCATTCATTTTCTCTCCACCCACACTAGCATTGCCCTAATACAGGTCACTATCATCTTCTATCTCTTCTTTCTGATTCTAGTCACATTTTCTAAAACTAACTTTGCAGCATGAAAGATTTGTCAAAGGTATAAATGTATGATTGTTAATAATGTTTTAAATCTTATTTCCATTGCTCTCAAGATAAAGCAAAATATTAAATACATAATATCATGCTTAATAAGTATTTTATACCTTTTATCCCATTATATCTCTATTCTAATCATCCTAGGAGATAAATACTACTATTAATTCTATTTTGGGAAATGGAGGCCTATCCTAGCTAAGTAATTTACTCAAGTAAAGTGAGGGAGCAAAGCTAGGATTCTAATGCAGACATTTTGGTCCAGAATCCATAGCTTTATCACTATGCTAACTCCAAGGTACGTGATGCTTCTTCAGGTATTTCAACATTACTCTTTATGTGTGCATGCATTAGGACATATTTGTATTATTTGTCTGCCAATAATTCTAGCCTATGAGATCCATCCAATCAAGGGCTATATTGATCTATTTTATTCATGTCATATCCTTAGAGCCTAGTGTGCCTGAGACTAAGAAAACATTTGAATGATGAAACTTTATTTAAAAGTATGCTATTATGTTATTTACTATAAAATAAACTATTTTGAGAATGGACTCAGGTTAGCAACTAAAACATTTCTGTGTATAAGCAATAGTTTCACAAATTTTCAGAAATGGAAACTAAATACTCCTGTGATCTTATTTCTTGGGAGAGTGTTATTGCTTATCTCTGCCTCCGTCATGAATGTCTTCTTTGTACGTCTTCATAATTCTACCTTCCTCACTGTGTTCCTCACTTAAAATGTTCTCAGACTTTGAGTATAAATTCATATATGTACTCTAATTAGGACTAACCTCAGTTTTACTTGTTAAGTGAGCAGTATTGGAAACAAAAGAAATATAATTATACTTGAATGCCCACTGCCATTTTCTTACTCACTGTCCACAAAACTAATCCTGCCTAGTTTACCAGTTATTTGTTCTTCGTTTATATTTTTATATCTAAGTGTCATAAGATTTTAAAGAATGTGAGAGCCCTTTTTTATTGTTCTTTTCCTATACATGAATAAAAGTGTAATAGTTATTTACTTATCATACTTTGCTATCTGCAAGTATGGACACTGATATCTACAGAAGAAACACAAGAGATTGCAATTGCCTCTGAGAAAGTAGTAGTAGTAGTATTTGTTGTTGTTGTTGTGTGCTGTCAAGTCAGGACCAACCCGTAATTGACCCTCCAGTGGGTTTTAATCATATAGGAGAAGAGTGCCCATCCTTCTCCTGCAGAGTAGTTGGTGGACTCGAACCGTGTACCTTCAGGATTGCAGCACAGCTTCTTATCACTAGGCCACCTTTAAAAACTGTAATTAAAATTCAGTACATAGATATTATTTAGATCTTAATTTAAGAGAAATCTGTAGGGGGAACAGACTAAGTTTATATTAAGGCACTGTTTCTAAATTTGCTGATTGTGATAGTGGCCTTGTGGTTATGTTTTACATATTCTTATCTACTAGAGATGCTTACTGAGGTATTTGAGAGTAAAACTGTGTAGTCTCTAGGATCTGTTTTTAAAACACCCAGAGGTATTTATGAGTTGTCAAGAGACAAGAATATTTAATGAAAGCATTCTGAAAGACACATGGTGGCGCTGCAGGATAGGAGGAGAACGATGCAGAAGGTGCCTCTGGGCACCATGATTCAGGGGAGCAAGATCGTTAGGTCCATTGAAAAGAAATGAATTAAAGGAGCGTCATTTTCAAAGCTACTGGGGGCTGTTTTAGCTTCCAAAGATTTCATAGAAAAATCAGAAGGTCAGCTTCCAAAATTGGGGCTGAGATTTTAAATACTACGCACAAGAAGCTGCCTGAAGTGACGATGAAGACCAGAGGCGCGCTCACTCGGCGGAAAAGGCAAGTCTTGCTTCTCTTTGTTTTACTGAGATTGTCTCAGGCGAGTCTTGAATCTGGGCGTTATTCTGTGGAGGAGGAAAACGAGATTGGTTTTTTTGTGGCCAATGTAGCAAGGGACTTGGGGCTAAGGGTGGAAGAACTATCCTTAAGAGAGGCACGGGTGGTGTCTGATGATAACAAAAAGTATTTGCATCTTGATTTGCAAACGGGGGATTTGTTCTTAAATGAGAAACTGGACCGAGAGGAGCTGTGCGGCTCCACTGAGCCATGTGTACTGCATTTCCAAGTGTTACTGAAAAACCCTTTACACTTTTTCTGGGCTGAGCTGCACATCAAAGATAAAAATGATCACTCTCCTACATTCCTGGACAAGGAAATACTTCTGAAAATTTCAGAAACTACCACTATTGGAACCACGTTTCTAATGGAGAGTGCTCAAGATTTGGACATAGGAAGCAATAGCCTCCAAAACTACACTATTAGCCCCAATTCACATTTCTATATTAAAATTAGAGACAGTGGTGAAGGCAACATAGACCCAGAGCTGGTCCTGGACAAAGCATTGGATCACGAAGAAGAACCTGAACTTAGATTAACACTCATAGCTGTGGATGGAGGGTCTCCACCCAGGTCTGGGACAACCTTGGTAGTGATCAAAGTCTTGGATGTCAATGACAATGCCCCTGAGTTTTCTCAGGAAATCTATGAGGCTCAAGTCCCAGAGGACACACCAGTTGGCTCAAGCATTATCAGTGTCTCTGCTAAGGATTTGGATGCAGGAAATTATGGGAAAATATCTTACACACTTTTCCATGCATCTGAAGATATTCGTAAAACATTTGATATCAATGCAGTATCTGGTGAAGTTCATTTGAGAACTCTCTTGGACTTTGAAACAGTACAATCATACACTATAAATATTCAGGCAACAGATGGTGGGGGTCTTTCAGGGAAATGCACTCTTCTAGTTAAAGTAAAAGATATAAATGACAATCCACCAGAAGTGACCATGTCCTCAGTTACAAACAGAATTCCAGAGAACACGCCAGAGACACTTGTGGCTGTTTTTAGTGTCCGAGACCAAGACTCTGGAGAAAACGGGAGAGTGATTTGTTCTATTCAGGATGACCTCCCCTTTATCCTTAAACCAACCTTCAAGAATTTCTTCACTGTGACTACTGACAAAGCACTTGACAGAGAGATGAGAGCTGAGTACAATATCACCATCACCGTCACAGACTTGGGCACCCCTAGGCTGAAAACTGAGCATAACATAATTGTCTGGATCTCAGATGTTAATGACAACGCGCCCACCTTCTCCCAAGCCTCCTACACCCTGTTCATCCGCGAGAACAACAGCCCCGCCCTGCACATGGGCACCATCAGCGCCACAGACAGAGACTCAGGAGCCAACGCCCAAGTCACCTACTCGCTGCTGCCGCCCCACGACCCGCACCTGGCCCTGGCCTCCCTGGTATCCATCAACGCGGACAATGGCCACCTGTTCGCGGTGAGGTCGCTGGACTACGAGGCCCTGCGAGCCTTCGAGTTCCGCGTGGGCGCCACGGACGC